ACCCATGCACTTACACCTCCTTTTGCAGGTAAAACACGAGAGAACTGTGGTGGCCTTGGCAAGTTTACAAGAAATTGAGGTTTACAAGAAATTGAGCAGGAAAGATGATCTGCATCTCCAGAGAAATGCGCTCCACCTCTTGTTCCTGTCAGGCACAGAACCCAGTATTATAATACAGTCAGCAATATCCTCCCAAAAAAATAGGCTTCTCCCCAAGGGCCCAGCAACAGCATGGAGAGGCATCTTTTTGGGCAGAGTACCAGAGCCTTACATCACCCATGGGACTGAGAGTGTGGGCAGTGGAAATGTGCCACCTTGCCCTTGTTTTTCAGGCTGCTCCTTCTTCAGCCCCAAACACCTCCATCCTGTCTAAAACAGCATGTAGTTGCTTATGGAAAGCATTATGAGCTGTTTCTCCTGCAGCCTCTGAGAAACCTTACCCATGACACTTAAGAGCTCAGTGAGGATCTACCCTGTCTTGTTGCTCTTTCAACTGTGCAAGTAAGTGAAGTAAGGGACAGCTGTTTTCAGCTCTCTCATATTATCTGATGGTTCCCTAAAGCAAAGGGTTTCCTTGCCATACAAGACATTCCTGCAAGCCCTGAGTACCCAGACAGATGGCTGATGGGGGCAGGAAACAACTCACAATGGTGAAACTGGATAAGCCTGAAGGACAACACGTGCATTAGGTGGCATGTCATGTACTGCGCTTAGATCTGCACTGTGTCCGGCCAGGTTTTCTGCTGTGATGTGACTGTCTCCATTACTCAGTTTGACACAAAACTTCACCCTGTGTCCTACAGTCCCTGTGAAGAGACATGGTGAAGTTTGTGCAGCCCCTGAAACTTCCTTTATGCAAATCTCCCCAACCCATTCCCAGTGGAAATGGCACTAATACATGCTATGGACACTTGTTTCCATAGATCACCGCTCTGTCCTTTTCCATGCAGTATTATCATACTAGATTCCTCTTTCTAGTATTTACAGGGAGTGCTTTGAAACCACCATAGCCAGCTGTCTGCCCCTTTGACACAATCTACTTACTTCTTTGTGTTTTGTGTCTCTTTTTTTTTTAATGAGATGGAAAAATGCCGTAAAAAACAAAAATGTGTATGCAAATGATTAGATGACTGCCAACCCACCTCTGTGTGCTTGGCAACCTAGTTGATCAGATGCCTGATGGACACCTTCAGTTGATCTTTGTAGCAGGCTATCAGTTCATTAGTACACACCGACCATTATCAGCAGTACGACTGCAGCTTGATCACATCTATATAAGTATCCGGCCTCCGACACCCTTGGCCAGTCCCTAGATGTTTTTCTGGACCTGCTCTCTGGGGTTGAACACTTTCATCACTACTTGTTGAGGAGGGGGTTGTTCTCTTAACAAGCTCCTGATCTGCTTGGGTTAATAGCTAGTGAGTCTGGGGCTTGATTGTGAGTGATCCGTCCACCTGCAGCAGGAAGTGTGCAGCAGTTGACTCTGGTGTGCAGTAGTGGTGGGGATGTGGGGAGAAATTAGTGCCACATCTTCTGTTCTTTGGTGTTTATCTCTGGGCTTCTTTTTCTCACTCCATCAAGGCACTGGGTGGATGGTTTTCCTACCTGTCCTATCCCAACAAGAAGCTAACAAAAGAGCTTAACACCTGGGACTTCCCCTGCCTTGACACGCCCAAGGTGCATTGTTACTACCTGTCCCTGGAGCGTGTGGCTTTTCCTTCTAAAGTCTTCCTTTCCTTTTACTGTGACCTGCCTCTGTGCACACGTGGATTTACAAGTTGTGCCTTTTGCAACAGAACAAGGCAGTTTCCTTGCTAAAAGGATTCCTTAAACTTAGCTTTCAGTCTATGCCTTGCCCAACTTGGCAAAGTTTTCCTTGCTGGCTAGGCTGTGGCTTCCTTAAAGTCTTTGTGTTTTGTTTAAAGCCAAAAACAAGACCTGTCCTAGTAAAAAAGTGGGCGAGTTACTGTTGGTTGGAACACTTTGCATTAGTCTGATGTAAATGATGTTGAGATTAATCTACAGATAGTAACAGAGAAGAGTGTACGCCAAGGTAGACTGCGGCTGGTAGACCTGCTGGAAGGATACATCAGTAAAAGTTCAGTGGACCTGCTGGTACAATAATGAAGAGTTTGGTGTCCCGATCTAGCCCGTGTTGTATGAGAAGGAGGCTTTGCTGGAAATACTGGCTGTGAGTTCTTACTTGCCTTTGGTTGCAATAGGAAACGGATCCAATCTGAGGTTTTGCACTTACCTGCCTACACTGCTGTATTTGTGCATCTCGGGGAACATGGGGCTATGTTTATATTGTAAGATTTAGGACTTTAAGAGAGGAATCCTGCTGGTTTTTTTTTTAATTTCTGTATATGAGTTTGAGTACCAACAATTCCTCTTCGCATGTACAATCAAAAAATTCCTCCAGGGAGAGCTGTGATCTCCCTCTGGTTGCATGCCTCTTGGAAAAGGACTTTCTGTTATCTGAATGGTGTGTGTGTGCGTGCTGGGGAGAAGTTGCTTCCAATACGAAGCAAATAAGCAAAACTCTGTGTACAAATAAAATGGGTAAGCAAGAAGAGGTAGAAAGGAGAGGCTGATCAAAGTCGGATGTACTGGACTACAGAGACCTGTGTCAAATGGGGACTATAAAGGAGGGAAGTCTAGTATTTTATATCTGTGAGCATGAATGTGTCTACATTGGGTCTTAACCAACATGTGCATAAAAGATAGTTTCCGCCTTCTGTCTGTCCCTTCTTGCTTAGGACCAGAACTGCTCCCGGATGGGAGAAGCCATCTGTTTGCTATTCCTCTCACATACACTGCAGAATACGAGAGACCAAATAAGACTGGGCCTAAACTGTTCCTCCTGGTTGGCTTGGTCCCTCTGCGGCCTCTTGGCTATTCCTGTAGGATTGTGTGTGTATGTGTGTGTGTGTGTGTGTTCTCCTCCTGAGGACTCCCACACTGTAGGTGCTTTCCACACACCGCACATATACTTGTGCATTCGCACACACACAAGTGCCAGTGTTTTTAAACTTAAGCTTCTCTCCTCCTCTTCCATGATAGTTAAATCACATCTCTAAATCGCTGCCTGCCTTAGTCAGTTCTCTGCCTTTTTTTCCCCAAAGCTTGAATGTTTTGCGCATTCATATATTCACGTCCTCTCAAAGCAGAGCTGCATTGCATAGGACTGCACAGGGCTATGCCATGTTTAATAGTGTGAGTTTTTTCTCTGACCTTGTCTTCCCTCTCTGTGCATGGTCTAACTCTGTACCCAGAAGACTCTACTCCGTGAGAAACTCTCCATTTATGCTGGCCATGCATTAAGAGGATAAAGTAGACGGCATGAAAATGATGATGCCCAAGGAAACATTCAGGATTTGGCAGACAGAGCTGGTTGGGCAACCCAACGTCTGAACTGAAAGTTGGTTCATGAGAGGGGGAAGAAGGAATAAGGACAGCAATTGTGGCTGCAAGGGGTGTGCTGCTGCCCTTCCCTGTGCGGACGTTGGTGTCACGGACTATTGGGGCATTCAGAAGTCAGAGGGGAGGGAAAGACCCTCCTTGCGGATAATTCCTTTTCAATCGGCCTGTTTACTTGTGTTACAGTCAGCTTGTTGTTTTGTCCTCCATTGCTCCACTCCACTGCCCCACAAATCTTCTTCCCCGTGTGATTCTCCCCTGCATAATAGAGCCAGGAATGTTAAACATGCCGTAAGTATCCGGAGACAAATGTTTAAGACCAGCCTGATGATTGAATTAACCTCACTGGTACTAGGAACAAAAATTATTGGATGAACCGACGAGAAGATAGAAGTGTCAGTGTTTAAAAAAGGAAGGTGGGGAGGGAGGGGAGAAGAGTAAACAAATGTATTTGTCCTTAAAACTACTGACGCTCTTGTCCTGAATCCATATTGAGAGATTATTTTGTGGAAACAAGGCGTTGAAAGGATATCACCATGCTAATGCTGAAGTCTAAACCAGGAGTCCTCTGGGTGATGGCTGGTCCCTGCAGAAAGGATGATTTGAGTGCATATGTATCACCCATTACCAACAGCAGTGGTTTTGTTTGCTTGGTTTTCAATAAATCTATTCCCATAACTTATTTTTCTCTGTCTGCTATAATCTGGCCCTCCCGCACACAAATGCTTCACAAGTTGCTCTGCAGACATGCAGCTGGCCACATCTGTGCAGCGTTTTGTCGTCAGCTCACCAGGTCAATAGGTTTTATTTTTATATATATTTTTAAAGGAACTCTGTCAAGCAATTTGATTTTTCTTTATTTGCTCTTCTGGCCTCAGGGGTTACAGGGTGTGTAGATGTGTGTGGTAGGAGGGGCTGCCACGAGAGATGCCAAGTGAAGTCCTTAAACTGGAATGAACACGAAGGGCCGCGGCTATCGAACAATGCCACGTGAACCCAGTAGAGTTGATCTTGTCTGTAAAGGAGCAGTATGTTCTGTGTTACAAATGTGCACCCGAAAACAGAGGGTTAGTGTGTTGAAATGTGGGGAGTTGTTGGATTCCCTGTCCTTTGCGTATGTGGGAAGCGGGTCCTGCATATGTTTCTTTGTTTTAATAGTTGCAACTAATGTTTATAAAAGAGCTTGTTATTTACATTTTAAGCACTTTAAAGAAATAAAAATTGTTCAAGCTGTTCCTAGATGCTTCTGATTTGTATTGCGGGGCTGTGTCAGTTGGCACTTGGGGAGCGTGGGACTCTGAGCGGGTAACTTTTAGTTGGTAAAACAGGGCTAGTTTTCATTGATTCCTTCCTTTAGGAGCCTGGTCTGTTTGTTTCTGTTTCATTGAAGCCAAGGGTCCTGCTGTGGAAGCAAGGTGTTTGTACAGGTAACATTATAAAGGTGCAGGTTGCAAAAGGAAGCAGCATCAATAACACCAGGTGTATGGGGGAGAGCACAGATCATCAAGTGACCCGGTTGAGTTTGCTGGTGGTTCTGGCAGAG